TCTAGGCTCTCTTGGATTTGTAGGATATCTAGGGTCTCTACGATCCCTAGGATCTCTAAGATCTCCAGGATTTCCGAGATCTCCGGGAGCTCCAGGATCTCTAGGATCTCCAGTATCTCAAGACAATCTAGGATTTCTAGAAACTCTAGGATCACTAGCAACTCTAGAATCTCTAGAACCTCTAGAATCTTTGGAATCTTTAGACTCTCTAAACTCTTTAGACCCTTTCGACTCTTTAAGCACTTTAGATTCTTTAGACTCTTTAAACCCTTTCGACGCTTTAGAATATTTAGAGACCCTAGAATCTCTAGAATCTTTATAGTTTTTACAGTTTTTAGGGTCTTTAGCTTTTTCTCTCCAGGATCTCTAGAATCTCTAGAATCTTTAGAATCTTTGGGATCTCTATGATCTCTGGGACCTCTAGGATCTCGAAGACATCTAGGATGTCTATAATCTGTATGTTTTCTAGGTTCTCTAGAATCTCTAGGATCTCTAACATTTCTAAGATATCCAGGATCTTCAGGATCTCTAAACTCTCTAGAATCCCTTAGATATTTAGGATCTCTAAACTCTCGAGGATGTATAGGATCTATAGGACTTCTAAGACCTCTAGGACCTTTAGTACTTTCAGGACCTCCATGATTTCTAGGATCTCTAGGTTCTCTAGAATGTTCAGAATTTTTAGACACTTTAGACTCTTTAAACCCTTTTGACCCTTTAGACTCTTTAGAGACTCTAGAATCTTTAGAATCTCTAGAATTGTTATAGTCTTTAGAGTCTTTAGCGCCTTTAGAATCTTCAGGAACATTAGGATATTTATGATTTTAGCATCTCTAGAATCTCTATGATCTCTATAAACTCTAGGGTCTCTATAATCTCTAGTATCTCTAGGATCTTTAGGATCTCCAGGATCTTTAGACACTTTAGACTCTTTAGACACTTTAGACTCTTCAAAAAACTCTAGAATCTTTATAATCTTTAGAATCTTTAGAATCTTTAGAATCTTTAGAATCTTTAGAATCTTTAGAATCTTTAGCATCTTTAGAATCTTTAGAATCTTTAGAATCTTTAGAATCTTTAGAATCTTTAGAATCTTTGGAATCTTTAGAATCTTTAAAATCTTTGGAATCTTTAGAATCTTTAGAATCTTTAGAATCTTTAGGATCTTTAGAATCTCTAGAATCTTTAGAATCTTTAGACTCTTTAAACTCTTTAGACCCTTTCGAATCTTTAGGCACTTTAGGCCTTTAGAGTCTTCAGGAACTTTAGGATATTTATGATTTTAGCATCTCTAGAATCTCTATGATCTCTATAAACTCTAGGGTCTCTATAATCTCTAGGACCTCTAGGATCTTTAGGATCTCCAGGATCTTTAGACACTTTAGACTCTTTAGACACTTTAGACTCTTCAAGAATCTTTAGAATCTTTAGAATATTTAGAATCTTTAGAATCTTTAGAATCTTTAGAACCTTTAGAACCTTTAGAATCTTTAGAATCTTTAGAATCTTTAGAATCTTTAGAACCTTTAGAATCTTTAGAATCTTTAGAATCTTTAGAATCTTTAGAATCTTTAGAATCTTTAGAATCTTTAGAATCTTAGAATCTTAGAATCTTTAGAATCTTTAGAATCTTTAGAATCTTTAGAATCTTTAGGATCTTTAGAATCTTTAGAATCTTTAGAATCTTTAGAATCTTTAGAATCTTTAGAATCTTTAGAATCTTTAGAATCTTTAGAATCTTTAGAATCTTTAGACTCTTCAAGAATCTTTAGAATCTTTAGAATCTTTAGAATCTTTAGAATCTTTAGAATCTTTAGAATCTTTAGAACCTTTAGAACCTTTAGAATCTTTAGAATCTTTAAAATCTTTAGAATCTTTAGAATCTTTAGAATCTTTAGAATCTTTAGAATCTTTAGAATCTTTAGAATCTTTAGAATCTTTAGAATCTTTAGAATCTTTAGAATCTTTAGAATCTTTAGAATCTTTAGAATCTTTAGAATCTCTAGAATCTCTAGAATCTTTAGAATCTTTAGAATCTTTAGAATCTTTAGAATCTTTAGAATCTCTAGAATCTCTAGAATCTCTAGAATCTTTAGAATCTTTAGACTCTTTAAACTCTTTAGAACCTTTCGACTCTTTAGGCATTTTAGATTCTTTAGATTCTTTAAACCCTTTCCACGCTTTAGAATATTTAGAGACCCTAGAATCTCTTGAATCTATAAAGTCTTTAGAGTTTTTAGGATCTTTAGGATCTTTAAAACCTTTAGGATGTTTAGAATCTCTAGGATATCTAGTATCACTTTCAATCACTATTCTTTAGAATCTTTAGAATCTTTAGAATCTTTAGAATCTTTAGAATCTTTAGAATCTTTAGAATCTTTAGAATCTTTAGAATCTTTAGAATCTTTAGAATCTTTACCATATTTACCGTCTTTACCGTTTTTACCGTCTTTACAATATTTACAATCTTTACTATCTTTACCGTCTTTACAATCTTTACAATCTTTACGATCTTTACAATCTTTACAATCTTTACAATCTTTACAATCTTTGCAATCTTTACAATCTTTACCATCTTTTCAAACTTTACAATCTTTACAATCTTTAGAGTCTTTCCAAGCTTTGCAATCTTTGCAATCTTTACAGTCTTTTCAGTCTTTACAATTAGCACAATCTTTACAATGTTTTCAATCTTTAGTTTCTTTAGAATTTTTACATTCTTTAAAATCTTTAGACTATTTAGATTATTTAGAATTGTCAGAGTTCTCCTTTGAGTCTTTCAATCTTTGGAAATTGTGGACACTTTTGGATTACTAGAATTGTTTGGAATTTCTAGGGTCGGCAGTACTTCCACGAACTTTAAAATTCTAAAAATTTATTGGATATTTCCTAAATTTAGAATCTTAGGATTTTAGTTTATGGAGAATCTTTAGAATTTCTAGTACTTATATAGAAACTTATTATCTGGACTCTGTGGAATCACTGGCATTTTTTGAATTCCTGATATCCCTTTAGGATATTTAAATTGCCAGCAGAAATGTCTGAAATCCTAGTAGTCGTTACAGTTTCTGGCATCTTCGAAAGCCTGTAAATGATTTAAAATATTTGAACTCTTTCCACAAATTCGGTGAAACTTCTAGTAAGCATTTCAATAGTTTCTACAATTGTGTAAACTTTCGAAATTTTGTGATTATATAATTTTTGTTTTCAATATTCCAAAAATTTTCAGATTTTTTAAAATACTTCCCGAAATTTTCAAGACTTAGATCTTCCAGATTTTTCAACCTCAAGAAATAGAAGCGAATAATAGAAAGGCGTATGCTGAATAAAAATATTTGAAAAGTTCATTTCTAAACAAAAAGTAAATTTAATTTGAAAAAATTTTGAAATTATTTAAACTGAACATTCCTCGGCCCTGAAGTACAATAAAGCAAACCCAGTAGATAAATTATAAAAGGTAAAAAAAATCGAGTAATCAATAAAAAGCAAAATGTGCTCGTTACGCTCGCATTATCAAACAGACGAAAGCATCCGAATGAATTTGAGAAATTTCAAGAATAATTCGAGAGAATCTCTCAAAATCCGACATTTTTCATAATAAACACGATTTCACTTTTATGAAATGACGACATCCTGTACTTGTGGTGTATGGATCCGTCTTGATTCGTACACCACAAGTACACAATTCTAGTAATCCTAAAGTGTCCACAATTTCCAAAGATTGAAAGACTCAAAGGAGAACTCTGACAATTCTAAATAATCTAAATAGTCTAAAAATTTTAAAGAATGTAAAGATTCTAAAGAAACTAAAGATTGAAATATAATAATGACAAAGTAGCGCGTTCGATTCCCCACGAGCCACTCAATCAAAAATTTTCTAAATTACTGGATTTATTAGACTACAGGGACGTGAAAACTTCCGTCTAAGAATATAGCACCAATTTTTCCTAATCTATTACTTACATCCAACTACAAGTTTAAAATTGTTGCTATTCAGGCCTTCCTTCAATTAATTTAACTCAAGAAGTTGAACCAACTTCGTGTCTAACAGTTGAATTACTGAAAATACTTCACCCAACATTCATCTTCCAGCATTTTCATCAACATAATACAAAACGACAAAGAAAAATATTTTCATTCTTTGCCCTTTCGGTTGTCTCAAATGTCCCATTCTTGATTCTCGAATTTATTTCACTTGCAACTGCACCCTCGCTCGTTCAACACTGCTGACAACGTTTTTAAATCTAATAGATTTGCAGTTCAAAAGGATTTCCTGGTCTCCTCGAATCAATACATTGTGGGAGAAGCATTCCACTTTTACAGTAACAAGTACTTTTAGAGAAATTTTCGGATGATCCAGTGAAACTCAAAAACGAAGATGTTGCACGTTAATTTCACGATAACGTAATAAGTCTTTAATGAAAAGTGCTACAGTTGGGTTAAGTAGTAGGAGATTAAATCCAATTAAATTACGGGAGACGTTTTAGTTAGAACCGTTTGACAAAGGTCGGATTTTTAGTTGTAGCTTTGATGATGGATAATTTTCAAAGTACTGAGTAATCTACTTAAGTAAAAATGTATGGTGATTGGTGAGTGCGTTTCCTCTTTATACATTTTATACAAGAAACTATAACACTTTGACTGAGTAAAACATGCCAGTCGTGGTGTAATATCACCACATATGGGAAAAGTTTTACGACAAATTATAAATCAATAAGGAAGTTCGTCAAACTTATATCACTTCACCTACATTATTCAACACGTACACGTATTGATTATATTTTGAAACAGTGTTAAGACGTTGAGGGATAACAAGGTCGCCGCAATTTATAACTTAACTTAAGTAATTTGCGCACGCGTCTAAAGCGTTTATTCGAAACGACCGGAATTATTTACAATTCACCGGAATCACCGGAGTGTACAGTTCTTTCGTTAATAAGTTCACCCAGCTTAGTTTTCCAGCCCGCAAAAACCTTAACAACACGTAAACTTTGTTCCAGGCCTCTTCAAAACCGACGGCCTCAAGCTTCCAAACAGCATGTGCGACTACCAGTTTTTCAGTTCCGACCAATCTCAGGCTTATGGAAAGTTCTACTCTCCGAGATATCCTTCAACTTACCCCACGAACATCCGCTGTTCATACCGCTTCCGAGCGAGGTTTGTTTGCACCCTTTTATTAAAGCTTAATGCTTTTAAGATGAACACACTTAATGAAAAAGATGTTCCAACATGTTACTAACTACTCCAAGAATGAGAAACCATAAAAGGTTTTCTCCAGTCAGCAAATAAAACAATCTCGGAGCGGCCTTTTGCGGGTTTTAGCCCTCGCCATTTATGAAATACATCATTAGGGTTATTTCCCCGAAGATGCGGCAGTGTTTATTTTCAGTTTGTTCGCGTTTTATTAAATTAGCTGTCCGCGGTTCTAGGTGTATCCGCCCACCTTGTGGGGAAAAAACATAAATAGAGGAAGTTATTAATCTGAGATTACACTTAAGTGGGTGATTTATCTTCAACTGGGGGTGTATTATAAAGTTCATAACACACCTTAATAGTCTCTAAAATTGATTTATATTGTTTGCAGGTACAAAGAGAGGATACGAATAGTGTTTGAAGTAGTTAGCTTGCAGAAAGGAGATTTAAGGTGAGGATTATCGTCGTAGTGTAATTATTTAACACACCGACATAAATCCACCGAGACGTGATTTAGTTTAAATAAAACACTTGCGACTATCGAAGCAAAAATGTGTGCCTTTATACATTATTCACGAATTAAATTGTGCTTTACGACGTCGAGAGAATTCTCATCATACCGTAACAAAATTCGAGTCGATATTTCTCTCTAAGATGAAACGCGTTCATAAATAATATTAGAAATCTTAATATTCGAATTATTTCCCTCGAGGACTCAAAAGACAACTGAAATTTCATTTGGAACACTTAAATATATAACAAACGAATCGCTAGGGGGACGCAATATTTTTGGGAAGCTCTAATTTTTTAATTTTAAATTGTATGGAATTCTTTTAGCGTTTTGGGTTTGATTGACGTAAGAATGCCGTCCTACAATCAAATAAAAAGGTCACCTTATAGCGTCGATTATTTAGAAAAAGTGGCGCGGGAAACCTGGACGGGCTCGCTACGCTCGCTTTTTATACTTTTATGAGGAATTTACCTTCACAGGGGCGGCTAGAGATTTATTGCTACAATAAAGCCTAAATAGCTTCGCTGAAGTTCCTTCCTTAAGATTCAAAGTTGAGATTAAAAATGATTCATGGGTGTTTCTGAGAGGATAAATTATTTACTAAAATTGTATTAGTTATAAAATCGAGGCTAAAAATGTGGGTGATCATTTTAGCAGGTTGTTTTCTGAGAGTAATTTAGGGACTTGTAGAAATTTATGAGCGTAATAAAACCTGAAGAGCTCGGTGACAAGGTCAATTCGTAAACTTTCTAAAGGGAGTAAATTATTTATCACAGAGCGAGCGCAGCGAGCAAGTTAGAGGTTCGCTCGCATTACTTGTACTAGAATACAAAAAGTGAATTTGTTTCGCAAATTTTGGACCGGGACCGTAACTTAAAATTTTCGACGCTTTTTTGACGATTTTCGAAAATTACCTAATGTAGATTTCGACTTCCAGAAATCATTTTCTGCTTCAGTTCTTTGAAAGAATTTTTTAAAAATTCGAATTTGAGACCGAATATTTCGGAAATCTTCATCCAGCGCTATGGTGACTCCATATATTTCAAATCAGCACTTCAAGACCTACATCTCAGAATTTTTTGAGAATTTTTTGACAACTTTTCCAAAATATTAGTTTTTCAGTGTAAAAATTTTCGACTCATTTTTGAAAATTTGCGCAAAAGCGTTTTTTACATTTTCGGCTTCAGTTCTTTAAAATTTCCTAACAATTCTCCAAAATCACATATTGGAAAATGGCGATTTTGATGATTTAAAAAAAATTGATTTTCATTTTTGCCTATGGAATTTTTTTTTAGTATTTTTAAAAAATTCCAATTTGAGTCGTAATTTTTCGAACATCTTTATTCAGGACCACAAATTTTTTTTTTTAGATTTTTAGACATTTTCAAACCCCCTTTACGAAATTTTCAACACAATTTTAATCATTTTCAAAAATCAACTAAAAAGGTTTTTTAAAGTCCTGCTTCTGGCTTCAGTTATTTAAAAATTCCTCCCGCTTTTCCAGTATCATATATATAAATATGGGGATTTTGATTTTCAAAACAAATAGAAACCATGGGAATCGCCAAATGAAAATTTTCAAATTTTGGAAAAATCGAATTTGAGACCAAAGACTTCGGAAATCTACGCCAAAGGCCATAGATACTCTAAATTTTTCAAATGAGCTCTTCACGAACTACATCTCAGAATTTTTTGAGGATTTTTTGACAATTTTTCCAAAATTTCAATTTTTCGATATAAAATTTTTTGACCGTTTTCAAAAAAGTGATTTTTTTATACATTTCAGCCTGTAAAATTCACTTTCGACTTCAGTTTTTTAAAAATTCCTATCACTTTTCCAGAATTTTTTGTGTATTTTTAGACAAAGTTTTGACCCTCTTTTCGAAAATATCTAAATGAACTTTTTTATTGATTTCGCACTCTAGAAACCATTTTCGGCTTCAGTTCTTTAAAAGTTTCTACCAATTTTCCGGAATCACATATTGAAATATGGCGATTTTTTTGATTTTAATAAACTTGATTATTAAACTAAATATTTCGAAAATCTTGGTATATTTTTTTTGAAAATTTTGGACAACTTTTCCAAAAGCTCAATTTTTCAGTATAAAATTTTCGGCTCATGTCTGACAATTTTCGAAAATTACCGAAACGGATTTCGTTTTAGAATTTGTCTTCTGGATTTGGGCTTCAGTTCTTTTAAAAGTTGTTCTTTTGAAGCCTCTAAATGAAATATGAAAATTTTTAGAATTTTTGAAAAATTCCAAATCGGGATAGAATATTTCAGAATCTTGATTTGGAACCACAAACAGGCCATATTTTTAGAATTAAGAGACCGTGATCTATATCCTAGATTTGTTTTCAAAATTTTTAGGCAGCTTTACTAAAATGCGTATTTTTCAGTACTCCCCTTTATGAAATTTTCGAACCTATTTTGACGATTTTCGAAAAGTAGCTCAATGGATTTTTTTATATTTCCGCTTATAAAAGTCATTTTTGTCTTCAATTCGTTTAAAATTCTCTCAACTCTTCCAAAATCGCCAAATGAAATATGGACATTTTTAAAATTTTCGAAAAGTTTCAATTTCAGACAAAATCTTTCGGAAATCTTGGAACGTGATCACAAACAGGCTATACTTTAGAATTAGTATTTTTTGATACGAAATTTTCGCAACAATTTTGCCTATTATCGAAAATTACCGAAAGGAAAATGACTGATGATTTTAAAAAATTTGATTTTCAAACCAACATTTCGAAAATTTTGGTCCGAGACCACAGAAATTTTATATTTTTCAAATCAGTACTTCAAAATCTACGTCTCAGACTTTTTTTTAATTTTTGGACAACTTTCCCAAAATCTTAGTTTTTCAGTATAAAATTTTGGATTCATTTCTGATCATTTGCAAAAATTAACAAATGGGACTTTTATAGATTTTGGATTCTGGAAATCATTCGACTTAAATTCTTTTACAATGCTCTCAGCTCTTCCAAAATGGCCAAATAAAATATGGAAATGTTTAGAATTATTAAAAAAACAATTTGAGAAATCTTGATCCGGGACCACAAATAGGCTATATTGTTAGAATTATTACGTCGAAATTTATACTCACAATTTTTGTTTGGTGTTTAGACAACTTCTCCAAAATCCATATTCCCCATTTACAAAATTTTTGACACAACTTTGACTATTTTCGAAAATTACCTAAAGCGATTTTGTAATCAATTTCGACTTCTAAAGGTCATTTTCAGTTTCATTTCTTTAAAAAAATTTAGCATTTTTCCAGAATCACGGATTTAAAAAAAATCAAATCAACACTTCATAATCTACACCTCAGAATCTTTGTAGAATGTTTGAACATTTCCAAAATTTCAGTTTTCTAATATAAAATTTTGGACCTATTTTTGACCATTTTCAAAACTTAACTAAATAAATTTTTTTCTAGATTCCGGCTCCTAGAAGTCATGTTCGGCTTCAATTCCTATTATTCCAAAATCGCCAAATGAATATATTCGAATTTTTGAAAAAATGAATTTGAGACCACATATTTCGAAAATTTTGTTCCGAGACCATAGGCATTCTATGTTTTTCACATTAGCACTTCAAGATCTAGTTCTCAGATTTTTTTGAAAATTTTTGGACACCTATTCCAAAATTTCAATTTTTTTGGCTTGAAGTCTTAAATTTCCTCAACACTTCCAAAACCACTAAATGAAATATGTGTGAAAATTTTTGCAATTTTTGAAAAATTCCAATTTGATTCAGAATTTTTCGAAAATCTTGATCCGGGACCACAAATGAACTACATTTTTAGAATGATTATGTTGAATTTTATAGTCCAAAATTTCTTTTTAGATTTTTAGACAACTTTTTCAAAATCCCTACTATTTAATACGAAGTTTTCCACACAATTTTGACTGTTTTCGAAAATTACCTTAAAGGATTTTGTAATAAGTTTTGATTTCTAGAAATCATTTTCTGCTTCGATACTTTAAAAAAAAAATTGCATTTTCCCAGAATCACGGATTTGATGATTAAAAGAAAAATCAAATCAATACTTTACGACCAGCACCTCAGAATTTTTGGAGAATTTTTGGACATTTCCAAAATCTCAGTTTCCTAATATAAAAACTTGGACCCATTTTTGTCCATTTTCGAAAATTAACTAAAAGGATTTTTTCTAATTTCCCGGCTCATTTCGTTAAAAATTCTTACTAAGTATTTTTCCAAAATCGCCAAATAAAAATTTTGGATTTTTTGAAGAAAATCGAATTTGAGAACAAATATTTCGAAAATTTTAGTCTGAGACCATAAATATTCTATGTTTTTTAAATTAGCACTTCAAGATCTAGATTTTAGATTTTTCTGAAAATGTTTTCAATTTGTCAGTATAAAATTTTAGACTCATTTCTGATCATTTTCAAAAAATACCAAATGGGACTTTTATTATTGATTTTGACCTCTGGAAATCATTTTCGGGTTGAATTCTTTTAAAATTCCCTCAACTCTTCCAAAATCACCAAATGAAATATGTAGGAACATTTTTGGAATTTTTGAAAAATTGCGATTTGAGACAGAGAATTTTTCGAAAATCTTGATACGGGGCTACAAATAAGCTATATTTTTAAAGTTATTACGTCGTGATTTATACCCTAACGTTTTTTTTTTGTAGATTTTTGACAACTTTTCCAAAATCCGTATTTTTCAATCTCTTTATAAAATTTTCGACACAATTTTGACTATTTTCCAGAATTACCTAAAGAGATTTTATGATAAATTTGGACTTCTAGAAGTCATTTTCAGATTCATTTCTTAAAAAATGTTCAGAATTTCTACAGAATCACACATTTGATGATTTAAAAAAAATCAACACTTCACCATTTTTGGCCATTTTCGAAAATTAACTACAAGTATTTTTTCTAGATTCCGGCCTCTAGAAATCATT